ACTTTGAAACGTCACGGCCGCTCTTGCTTTGTCCACACCAGACCTGTCGGTTATGTGTAGGACTCAAACAGGGATCCGAAAGCCCGTCTTCCGAAGGTCCTGGAAAACTCTGCCTGGGTCGTATTCCGACGAAACATTCCTCATGAAGTGGACTGTTTCCTCGCCATAGTGCGAAATTGGCGTCTGATCAAGGCCGCTGTAGTTTAGGAACTCCCAGTCCTTTTGAAGTCTCTCATCATCAGCAAACTCGTTGATAACACGCTCAAGTTCGAGTAAGAGAGGCCAGATCAACTCCTGGTTCTCTGCGGTATCTACCGTGAGTGCTAGGAGCCACATGAGAGCCGGGCCGTCTGCGACCACCCTCCCAAGGCCGAGGACGTTGCCGCCTCGTTCGTCGCCATGGGCCACCATCGACTTGGTCACAGGCTGGAATTGAGTGAGAAGCTCGAAGTCGGAGGCTGGAGCTGCGAGCTTCATTCTCTCCGTGTATTTAGGCACGATACCAAGGACAAAGTCCATGATAAGGGCGCTGTGTGAGGTCATGCCGGTCCTCCAATTGGCGCTGTGTCATGGTCAGCCACGTCGCTCCTTCAGTGCATTTCGATACGAGACGTACTAGAGTCCTAGGGGAGTTGGTCCGGTGAACTCAGGAACCATCTCTGCGACAGATCCGATGCGAGCTGTGCTTGAAACGTTGGCAATGCTGGCAAATTCTTGGAAAGCGGGCGCGGTGCTTTTCGCGTCACTGTTTGTTAATACTGCGACGAGACTCAACCCCTGCTGGCCATATAGCAGAGTCACGATGGCCTGGCTGGCCGGGTCTTCGTCCATGGTGTTGACGAAATTCACGTAAGCGTCGATCACGTCGTCTGTCTTGCTCAGGTGGTAGGTTGTGATCCCGCCCCATATCTGGGTCGAACGGACGACCTCTGTGGAAAGGTCAGCCATCAATGCGCCTCTTTAGGTAGGCTCACGTCACGATATCATCCGCCACGTACCGACGTCAATCCGTGTGACGAAACCAAAGTTTCCCGAGCCCCCCTTGAGAGCTCTCCAGAGACCAGAGTTCTCGTACGCGTTGGCGTCGACAATGGAACCATTGGCGAGAACAACCTCGAAGTTGACAACATTGTCGCAGGCGAATCCTCTCCTGTTGCTGTGGAAAGAGTACTGTCGAGAGTCAGTCTTCTTCTGTTGGGGA